AGTATTCTATACCAGACAAAATTTAACTGAATTTGTGATTATGCATTAAGTTATTCTTAGTTACAAATTGAGACTTAAAGAGTCACTGTTGTGTCTACCATATATGACAAGATCTCTGGGTTATAATACATTAATTTGATTAAATGAGTCTAGTTACTGGTAATTCTGCTGAGAAATCTTTCCTCTCAGGCTCATTTACGATCGACTGTCTACTGGGTTAAATTTTATTATACCATAAAAAACTCAAGATGCAAATCTATGCAAATCATGTAATCAGATACTGTAATAATCAATGTAATCATCTAAGATTCTTTACTCTTCTATAGTCCAAAAAAAAAAGTCAATCTTATTACACACTTTGGATGGTTTTCTACTGATTCCAATTCGGCAATCAAAAAATAAAAGAATAGAAGAAAATCTTGAAGAGCTGTTATATTTAAGGCAAAAAAGTACAGAAGTCGTATTTTTTAAAAACAGGTTAAATTTCATGAAAACTTCCTTATAATGGAAACTTTCTTTCATGAATAGGCAAACAGTAAAACAAAACAGCACTCAACTAATAAATAAGGATTTTGCAGGGGGTGGGGGGTGGCGAAGAGGGTGAATTTAAAAGTAGTCACTTACTAGCTCCACTTCCAATTGTTCTATGGAAAAGCTGTGACATCCGAGGACCAAGAGGACCAAACAGGTGAGGAGGAAGACCCCTGGCCTCTAACAGAGCTATGGAAAAAAGAAGGGCAGGAAGAGTAGTTGAGCTGTCAATACAACTGGTTTTATCTAAAAGTTTCAAGCAACTGATTGATCTCACATAACCGATTAAATGTCACTTTCCATTCTGAATGTTAAAGGGAAGCTGCATTAAACTTTTCGAGACCACTTGCCTATTCTAATGTAATATAAGTTATAACACCCATGTGCCAACTCTAGGGCATCTTAAGATTTTATGGAGATATTAAATATCAATGTCATCAGGGACCATATAAAAGGTCCAAGAAAAACCCAAAGTAAATATTTAATTTGAAGAAATTATATGCTAAGCACCTCTGTGCTATTTCCACTCTGATGGTATTTCCCAACCAGATACTGATGATGAGATCCTCTAAAAACAAACATTATTTTTGTCAATTCCAAAAAGTGAGAAAAATCGTTATAGTTTTTCTAGTCAAAAAGTGATTGTTGTTAAATTCTTTCAGGAACTCAAAAGCAGTATTAAGCTGATTAATAAATGTTTCTTTTAAGCCTCACATTAAGGATCTATTACACAAATCAACTGTCTGAAGACAATAAAAATACATACCCATTCTCTTGTGACGAGTGTACACATAATATAAGGATGCTTTTTACAACATTATAATACCTGGAGTTTATGTATACATCCTATATTGAGTTTGAAATAGCTGATCAAGAACACAGTAAAAAAGCATCCTGCTAGACTGCATCATGTTATTAGGTACCAGAGACCAATATATTAAGCTACCCCTTTTTCAACATCTTATTTCATTACTAGCTATACATGTAATTCTAATGAAGGAAAATTTTTAAAACATAAACAGTAAATATATCATATAATATTTTTATCCAGTTAAACAGTAAAAATGAAAAACCAGATAGATCATGTTCCAATTCCAAATCATCAAATCACCACTAAATAAAAAGCTTCCTTTAGAGGTGTAGGCATTGCTAGATTATGTTCAGATGAGCTTATCTGAATTAGTTTCAACCAAGAACAGTAGTAACAGGTAGCCCATGATAAAAGTTTCTTGTAGGCCCAGTAACTGTCTTTACCTTGTAATCGTCCCATCTCAGAATCATCTGATTCACTCTCCCCAGAGGTGGTCATGCCCACAGCCCCTGCAACAGAACTAGAGGCTTCAAAAGGAGGGGGGGAGGGGTTGGAGAGGAACATTTAAACTCATTATGTCTGGTTTATCTTAAAAAAGAAAAAGCAGAGTTTTACATATTAACAATGAATAAAGATAATTAAACATGTCTGTCCACTGCACTCAGTTGTTATTTTAAACATCACCCTGTGGCTTTCATGAAAAAAAGATTGCTCAACTATGTGAGAAAAAAGCATAAAAATACAACTTTTGCATTTCATTTCGTTCATACATGGCTTTCACAGTTTCCTCCTGTCTTTGAAACTGTTCCTCAATTGTTTTATCCTGAACTTCTCTACCGAAAGTGCAAAACGATAACACTGCTAAAACCACTGTGATATTTAATAGATGGGTCATTAGTCACAAACATAACAGAAAGCAAAACTGACATTTGGGGAAAATGTTCCATGTAGATAGATGTGTGCTTTCTTCAGTCTGCTTCATTTCTGAACTACAGTTTTGAGACAATTGTTTATCATCTGTTTTCTTTCATTTCAATAGAGTGTAAAGATCATGCTCTCTTATTTCCAGGACAAAACATCGAAGATACACATTACAACTACCAGATGATCGCAAAACATTGAAGTACAAAAGAGAGGGCAACTCAGATGTCAAAACAAGTATAAAATGCAGAGTTCAGATTCAGAAGCATTCTACCACCCCCCAAAATGCTAACCGAGCCAATAATTCAGTTTAAGTAAATAGAGATTGATTCTATTATGAATCTGACCAAGAGATGTAAATATACTCCTATAAAATTAGCAGTTTCACTGTCCCCTCCTCCCACTGTCTGTTGAGTCCTAAAGCATCTTTTGTACACAGATGAGTAATCTATGTATGACCACATCATCCACAATACTTTAAGCCCTGTCTACTTGACAGATAATGTCAGAGTTCAAGCCAGGAAGAATATTTTTGTCATTATTAAAAGAGGCACATGGATAACATGTGAATTTAAAGAGTTTTTCTGAAGAAAGAGATGGCAGTATACCAGCCACCAACTCTGTTTTTTTTAATGCTTTTCTTAACCTCTCATTTAAGTATTATATCATTTCACTGGGATTTTTTTTTTTAAAACTCAAGGAAAAAATGTATGGTTTAGAACAGGAATCAGCAAACTGTGGCCCACAGGCCAATTCTAGTCCAGCACATCACTTTGTACATAAAATTTTATTAAAACATAGCCAGACTCATTCATCTACATATCATCTGTGGCTCCTTTTCTGCTACAACCAGAGCTGAGTAGTTCCAATAGAGCCTGTCTGTAGCCTAAAATATCAATTATCTGTCCCTTTACAGAAAATGTTGGCAGCCCCATGGTTCAGAGCTACAGGCTAACTAGAAATGCTAATATTAAAGAGTATCAGAGTTCAGCAAAATCCACACTTCCAGTGGGGGAAAAAAGGAGACAACCAGTAATGTATTCCCTAATGCTCCTTACAGGAGGCATTTACTAAAAGTTAACTATATGGAAGAGTGTATCCATGGGTTTCTTTCCAACCACACAAAGTATTATGAGTTTTTACCATGCACACAAGGAAACCAAGGCTTTGAGTTTAGGTGTACTTGCCCAAGGCCAGACAAATAATGAGGGATGTGGGATTTGAACTCAGGCAGTCCAACTTCATAGGGTGTACTCTTACGAACTGTACACTATCAGCATCTTAAATACATTCTTCAGTACTAATTTTTAATTCAAGTAGAGCTGCGTCTTCACATTATACAGAAATCTTGTCAACCAATGCTGCTATTGGGCCCCATTTAGGACTGAACTTAGTAAAGTGGCTCTTAAACTTGCTGTGAAACTTTTCCAATTATGTGAAAAGCAAATCCAACATTTTAAGAAATGAAATTTTTTTTTTTAAGGTACACTCTAGAACCACACATTTTTTTAAGGGAAAAGACCACAAGTTCATGGAAGGTAATGCTGGTTTTTTGAAGTTTATCAGAGGACCTACTGATTTTACCTTAAACCATTCTACAGATCTGCAATCTATGATTTTAAAGGTTTAACGTTATGTTATTTTTTAAATGTATTATTCTAACAATTAACTTAATGAATAATAACTGTCTCAAATTGCACTGCCACAAAGACATTAACTAAGGCATAAAAGTTGTAAAAGCACAGAATCAAAAGAGCTGTTGAAACTTTTATACTGTGGTCCCAACCTTAACGGGAGCCACAGACCCTCTACAAAGAGAGGGGACATTCTGATTTTTACTCCAAAAGAGTGTCTGTTTTGACATAAGTCAGTCACTGGACCCAAGAAAAAGATCCCTTCCGGCTGCCATCCCTTTGACGGCAAGTATTAAGCATCTGCCTACTGTAGCTCTCTGCATCTAAGTTTTACAATATTCGATAAACCAAAGTAGCCTAGCCTGTTTGCAAACTCATGCAGGTAAGGAAACGTAACCCACCAATAAGAGTTAATGACAAAGTTCTTCAGTCAAGGCATTAAACCTCGGGCAACACACACAAGATCTGTCCCCAGGCAGAAATATAAAAGTGAGACTATCAAGCAGAGAAAATCCAACAATGTCAGATGTTAAGAAGTGTCCACCGTTTTTTTGTTTATACTGGTATCTCTCCATGTCGTCTTAGCAGATCTTCACAGCACCATGTAAGGTAGCTTCCAATACTCAGTTAAAGCCGACAGAACTGCTAAGGGTTTACCAGATACCTAAGCATGAGAGGCAACAGACAGGCCTTTTTAGTGTCACAAAAACCTTTGAGCAAGGCCAGAAGCGTGGCTGTTCAGGATACAATTACGCCTTGGCATCAGGTGCTATGGCAGCAGTCTAACTTTCAGTGGTACTAAACAAAAATAATTAGGAAGAGAAACATTTTCAAAACTGGGTTGCTTTCTTTTTACAATCTGACCCTGTTTGTTTCTTCTGAAATTAAGATTCTCAATGCAAAATGCAGGTGTCAAACATTTTCCCTTACTTTGATTTCCAGATTTAAATAAGAACACTTGACTCCCCCACTAGTATTTGCAAGACTTTATCAGCACTATAAAGTTCTCATGGAGTCCAAAACGAAACCCTTCAGCTCTTGGGACAATGTGGGGAACACTTAACTTTCTATTTCAAGAACTAACATTTCTTTTGTGAAGAGCTAGAGGGGGTGCACTCCATGTCACAGTCTACTTCAGAGTGACACCATTATCAACAAACTTTCCTAAGTGTCAAAAACACTGACAAAGTCAGAGTGATATAAGCAACTATTCCGAAGATGGGGCAATGCATGAGAAAAAATACTTATATTAAAGATTCCACTGAAATAGGTCAGGAAGAAATGATCTTTAAAAATAACACTGAAAAAAATGAATATATAAATAACACTGAAAAGATTAATCACTTTGAATCAGTAAAAATACTGTTTCAAATGTTTCAAATGAAGTGAGTCTTATACCAACCAGACAAGAGCTGTCTGAGAACGGACACTTGCCAAAAGATGTCCTAAGTTACCACTGATTTATACTCTACACTAACTTAGAGAGTTTTCTTTTTCTTTAAATTACAATCTTACATACTGAGGAACTGAAGTACAATACACAAGAACTTAATATAAAGCTAGTAAGTAATCTGCCTCTTTCCCCAGAACTACGTAAGGAGGCTAGCAGAGGAACCCCTGTAGTACCCACAAGGGATCCAGTCTCCAAAATGTACTGACGTTAGTGCTTATCTAATACCAGTGAACATGCCACACGAATCTTTTACACAAACTTGGAAAATACCTAGATCACACTGTGATTTCCAATGCGGATGACAATGAAACACAAGCAAGCCTTTAGGAGGGCAGTCTTACGATCTAATCCCTTGCAGCTTTTAGCCTCTTAGGTAAATAAACCAGGGAACAAAATTTTACACACCACCCCCTCACTCTGGCTTCCAATTACATCCATATGAATTAAACAAACTCCACTAACCGTAGGGGAGCAGAACAACACAGCCATTGTAAATGTGCACTTCTTTTCTAAGACCTGAGAGCCACACATTTCAGTTTGTAACCCTGGCAAGCTTAACCATTATGTGTCAGTTTTTCTCATTTGTAAAATGAGGATAACAGCACTCACACCGCAGCAGGTTGTTCTGAATATTAAATGAGAATATATGTAAAGTGCTTAATAGTGTGTCTGCAATGAAGCGTACACTCTCTAAATGTTAGCTATTATAATTACTGCAATGAGTCCACGTTGACAACACACTCAGCAGCTCCCTTTCAAAGTGTCATCCATGTGGGAATTGCTCCACTTTCATGTTCAGACTTGGAATAAACATTAAAACACTGGGAAGCATGGGTGGTGTGTCATAAAAAGCTTCAATGAGTTGCATGTGCAATGCAATTTATTTTTGCAAAAATCTACAATTCTAGGAAAAGGCACCATCAAAAGATACGTTGCACAACACTGTAAATCAACTATACTTCAATTTAAGAGAGAGGGAGGGAAAGACTTACAGTTCACCATGTAATGTATCATATAAAACCAGGAAAGATCAGTGGTAAAAATGTTAAGCTGGACAGAAAGCTGAGACAAAATGCGTAAAACATGGGACAGTAGTAGGCAAACCAGAACCCTCCTGGCAAATTAGGACATATGATTAACCAGAGGCATTACAGAAAGCCAGCACGTATTCTAATATTTAACTATAGTACGTGAAAGAACTTTTCAAAAGAATATACACGCTTATCCTTAAAGCTAGTGTATCATTCTGATCTAAAAGACTCATACTCCTATGTTTATAATAATGAATTATAACATTTTTGTATCTATTCTTAACATTAGTGAGAAATGTTTACCACAAGCTACATTTTAAAACCTGTTAGCCACCATCAAGCATGGGAGTATTAGCCTTCTTTCAGTACTGGTAATGTAGACATATGGGGGCGGGGGGCTAAATTTTGCTGTGCTAAGATATCAATAAGAATATAAATGAGGAACCCATAAAAATATCAACAATATTCTTAAAGCTGCTTAGATTCAAACTGAATACTTATTCCTTTTCAGGGATTATTACAACATTCTAAACTTAAATTTATATGGGTATGAAGCAATTTAAGCCATACCCTTCCATTTTTATTATGGATTTAAATGTTTCAAGCAATCAATAGGTTACTATTACACGTACCCATCAACATGAAAGAAACTTAAACAGTAGGGGACTTACTGCTTCTTAAAGCCCCTTGAATGCAATTAGCACAGATTTGGATTTGGAGAAAAATTAAACAACAACAAACAAACACAACTAATCAAAAAACTAAATCTATAAAGCGAAAAGAGAATAAAAGGTTTGATGTTAACATCTTAGGCTATATCTGTCTTCTCTCTTCCACTGTATTTGGTATACTTAAAAAGAAATTTATCTCAAATAAATCTGTAAGATACATAAATGCATTTTAGGCCTAAGAAGTGCCAATCTACCTGCAGCTCCTTGAGGGGTTTCGTCAGTTCGTGCAGCTGAGGAATTCACTGTCTCCTGGTTGCCTTCAGGGTCTGCCATCTTCTCCTGTCGACGAGCTTCAGCTGCTCCTCTTTTGCCCAGGCCAGAGCCTCGCCTACTACAACAGAAAAACGCCATCACAGGCAGCACGATCAGTGACCAGGAGCGACGTCCACACAGCACAAAGCCCCAATGCATGGAGCACAAAGCTAGTTTCTTCTTTTTACATAAAAATTGTTGCAGAAAATCACTATGGGTAACAACCAAGACTTTGTATACTTAAAATTCTTCTAAGCTATATATCACATTCACAATGCAAGCTTTTGTGTTGCTATGAGCTGTTGTCATCCTTACAGACAGAAGTGATTTTTAACACTTCAACTAAATGGAAAAGTGGTTCCTTCTGCAGACACAATTCAGTTCATTTAAAATAGATCCCTAGTTCCTGGTAAACAGTGGATCAATATATGGACTTTCAGACTGAGACTTGAAAATGGGGGAAGAGCAGAAGATAGGGGAGAAGTCCCACCATCTAAGTTCCAGATTGCTTTAAATCATCAAAAAACTACTATCCTACTAATGGACAACAGTTCCATCCTATAAAATAAAGAATTAAATATTTAATATTTATAAACAAATACAGATGACATCTGGGAAGATACTCATTTCAGACTGAGACATAGTATATAAGCTATGGAAAAAAATCATCAGTCATTTCTCATGAAGCAAATTATATTCTACTGATGATTTTTTTTCAGCTTTAATAGTGAAATCAGTAAGTAAATCGGGTAGAGACACACGACTTCTCCAAATTATTACAGCTTAATATTGTTTGAACAGCAGGTCCCCGAAATTACCTTAGGAAGTGCAGAAACCTACTACCAAAGAAATATTTTAGACTAAAGTCAAACTACAGTGAAATGAGATGCTGCCTAGTAAAGAACAACAAAAAAGTAGGCATAAGTAAATGTAAATGAAGGCTCTGAATTATTGGAGAGTTCTACAAGAGTTTATCTTTCCCATTAGTAAAAAAAAATCCTCCCTTAGCAGGGATTACTCAGCCAATCCTTTGTTCACAGGGAGAGCAGAGAGAAAGGGATAAAAGAAAGACAAAAAAAAAAAAAAAAAGAAGAAGAAGAAGATGAAGAAGAAAAAAAGCTCATTCCAAGCCCAAATTACCAAGCTACAAATTAGTGAAATTCAAATTAAGTCATTCATTTAACATTTGATTTGCACCAACCATGTGAGGCACACTGTGCTGAACACTGGATGCTGCCCTCAAGATGTGTCAGTCTAAAGAGAGACAAAGACACTGCTGTGACAGGATATGAAAGCACTAAATTTAAGGGGCATCTCAACTAGTTCAGAAAAGTTTAAGATGAAGAGCCCTACGGGCAGGAGGCTAGACCGCTTGTGTACAGCATGTAAGTCCACGTGCATGAAGACAGTGGTCCCGGGAGGAGGAGAGAAGGCTGCAGAGAACGACAGGGTGCTAGATCACCTGACTTCACATACAGCTTAAAATAGTCAACCACAGTGAATTCAGTTTATAACTCAGATTATAAACCTTGGGTAAACTGGGTTCAAAATCTGGCCAAAAACAGAATAAAAGCTCTGAAGAGCTAAAATTTTCTCAGAGGTCCTCATAAAAACATTGCCAAGAAAATCCAAAGGCCAACAGGTGTACTAACTCCAGATACTTTAAACAATATTTTAAACAATCCCGATAGAACTAGAGAACACGTGGAAAAGTAGAGATTAAAGTGGCGAGAGTCCTTTTCTTATGACTTAACAGGCAACAACTCATACCTTTTCCATATGTTCCTACTGTACCCCCTGGCCAAGAGGTAACATTGATTACCTCAGAGAAGCACTAAAAAAAGAAACATCAAAAGCAGCACTACAACTTTTCTACTGACCTGAGTTAGAGTAGGGAAAAGGCAAACTAAAGTCATTCACCCTCATCACTGGTTTTTGGCACATTTTGTAGAGAACAAACTACATATAAAAGCAGCAAACTACATATTAAGAAGGGGGGAGTCCCATATGGCTGTGAACAGCAGCACAAGTCCAACTGACCAACCTGGAAAATCTGACATAAGACTGAAACAAAAAGATTTTTAACTTTAACCTAAGATTCTGAATCAGTTAATAAAAGCACGTGAAGTAATATATTGTATCATCTATCAGAGGTCGATGATTTTCTGAAAATGGGCCCCAAAATAGCAACTGGGAGAAACGGGAACTGGAGACATGGAAGAACACAAACAAAATCTGTGTTTCCTTGAGGGCAGGTGTTGTAACTCAAAGTGAAAATTAAGTATGTCTCTTCCCCTTACCCATTAAACCCAATAACTGGTGCCAACATTTTTAGAAGCTAATTAGGCAATATTACAGCCATTACAACAGGCCTCCCTTTTGATCCATTAATCCTACCACTGGGAAATTAAGCCAGCTCTAAAAAATAACCCAAATCTGCATAAAGATGTTCATTAGAGATTTATCTGGCAGACTAGAACTCTGAAAACAATCAAACATCCAATTTTTGGCAGTAACTCTGTGCAGATAATGCAGCAACAGAGGAAAAGGTAGAAGATACACGTGTCACCCAAAAAAAAGCATGATTAAAAACTTAGCCAAAAAAAAAAAAAAATTAAACACTGAGGAAGAATTCACAAAAATAATACCAGCTATATTAGAATAAATTTCTTTACTCAATATTCCAGTGAAAATTTGAGTAACTTTTAAAGACTTACAAAATTAAGGATTTGGAGGAGAGCTGAACACAGATAATGAACCAATTATAAACTGGAGAAACCCAAATTATTACCTGGCACTAGCACAGGAGCCCGTGGTCTTTTGGCGTGTGCTCCGCCTCAAACTGGGGAGCTCAGCAGGTGGGGATTCGCTGCGCTTCTTGGTAGATTTTCTTAAACCTGTATGTGTGAAATGCAGAAGTTAAATTTTAAAAAGAGCAGTTATCTCAAGTTAAAAAAGACAACATTCTTCAAGTCGTCCTTCTGGTCAAAAGTCCACAGAACCTTCCCATGGCCTCTCTAGCAGTCTGTAGCTTTACCTCCATAGTTGCTTTTACTGCACTTACCCATACTGGGGAAGTTCATGCAGTGCCTGGCATTCCTGTTCAGGATAAATATTCTCGATCTGACCTATCCTTGACTCAAGCAATCTTAAACCATGAATGACAGTCCCTCTTCTCTCAAACCATCCTCTTTAAAAGTTCCTATCACATCTCCACTCCTCCACTACTTTTCTCCACTAATTGAAGCAAAGAGATTTTTTATATATACTATATATTTCAGGACTTGACTGTATTTCATTTAGCACTTTACTGCAATATCTCTGCACTGTTTCATTTCACCAACTTTATATGAGGCTCATCAGTAAGGCCATGAGAGAACAAAATCTTTTCTTTTACCATCCCATCAGCAAAGAATATACATCTGAACTGAAGGTTATTAGAATGTCCAATTTACAGAATACTGCATAAGTAAGGGGAAAAAGTCAATCAAGCACATTTTACATGTTATTCTGGAAGCTAATACCTCTTTAGGAAAACAGATTCTAAAAAGGTATAGCAACTAAGTAAAGTTAATTGCTATTTTATGAACAATGGGGAAGCCATCAGAGTGCTAGTCTAGGCACATGGTGGCATACGGGGTGGTGTGATCTAAACAAAGACACCCCCCCCTAGCAGTGAAAGGTCTCCAAGGTCAACAGGGCATATTTCCATTAGAACCTGGGTGTCATCTTATATAGACGTCCAACTTTCTTGGAGACCAATCGTACAATAACCATTCTCCAGATCACCTGCTTCTTCTCAAATTTGAAATTTTTTCCATTTCACAAGTATAAAGATAAGACATTCCTTACTCTTGATTTTGTTAAAAATACCACTAACGGGTCTGGGAAAGAGGTGGTAAAAAAGATTCTAGACATCTTCTTGACTTTTTAGACTCTTTATTTAAATTCAGTTCATTCAACTTGTGACTACACTTAAACTATACACAATAAAACTTGCTAAGTAAAAAGTTAGCTATTAAAAACACTAAACACAAAACAGGAACTACAGGGACTAAAACCTATGTTCAGACAGGTATTACCATTTAGAAATTTAAACCAGATCTTTCAGGTCTTTTCCACCTCTGCCAGAAAACACTTTTGTGAAAGACTATCTACACTTTGAAACTGGCATAAAAGATCAAACAGTGAAACTTCAGTGGGAAAAGAAAATTGGCCTAAGGGTTTCTTAAATTTCAATTTTACTTTAAGGTTGATTTTTCTTACGTCATATCACAAAAATTGTTTGATGTGATCACAAAGCTATGTTTGACATCCAATACTACTTAACTTTGCCTGGCTCGATACACATCCCAGCCACCTGAACAATGAACTTGGCATGTAGACAAGATTATAAAGCTGGCCTAATATATTCAGCTACTACTATCACTAGTATTTTAAAAATTCAGAAATGTTTAAGTATTTCAGAAAATATTAAATTACACTTATCTTTCTACCTGAATTATGTGACTAAGTTAGAATGGACTAAAAAATGTACAACTTAGAAGAAAAAACCAACAGTGCACATTACATTACAACTGCAAAAAAATAAGGTACTTTCACGTATAAACCACATTTAAAAATCTTTGTATTATTGTCACTAACATTACTTAGTTCATGTAATACTTAAGTATCTTTATACATTCCATGAAACAGCAACAGACACTAGCACAAATTTTCACATCTATTCAGAGACATTCAAAGTAAAACATTCAACTTAATGGACTGTGGGTTACTGCTATAGTGCTAATTTGTAGAAGTGACTTTTGGATACTTTCACTACTTTTTGATGCTTTTTGATACTTTCACTACTCATGCCCTATTTTAGACTTTAGTGTTTAACTCTCTTTCAAACAACTTCATTCAAATATAATTTCTAGGGAGGAGGGTAGAGCTCAGAGCATGTGCTCAGCATGCATGAGGTCCCAGCTTCAAACCCCAGTACCTCCATTAAAATAAGTAAGTAAATAAATAAACCGAATTGCCTTCTGCCCCCCAAACAAAGCAAAACAAAATAAAAAAATAACTTCTATATGATACAATGTACTCGTTTTAAGTGAATGGGGGTAAGTTTGACAAATGTATTCACCTACAAAACCAACACCACAATCAAGATATAAAACATTTCCATCAGTCAAAAAAGTTCCTTCAGGGCCCTTGCAGTTAATCCCCTCCCCCATATTCAAGCCCCTGGCAATCATTGATCTTTTCTGTTGCTACTGCCTACTTTGCAATTTCATATAAATGGGATCATACAGTGCTTTGGGGATGAATTCATGCTGTTGCACATAGTGGTCCATTTCTTTTTACTGCAAAGTGGTATTCCTTTGTGGGGATGTGCCACAATCTCTATATCCATTCTTGGTGTTAAACTTTAAGAGAACTGTACTTTTCAGAGAAGTAGGGCAGAGAAAAGCCAAAATAAGAATAGATAGAAAAATATTTATAACTGATGCCATAATCATGCCATAATGTAAAATGACTGTTGGGCTCAGCCAGGCCTGAAGCTAGCCAATTTCTTGGCTTCACCAGTCATGTGAGCTGATTTTCATTTAATTCTGACTGAATACTCATCACATATAACCCCAAATCTTACAAGTCATTACTGTATTAAAGTTTTTAGTCTAGAGTAGGTGTCAACAAACTGTGGCCTATGAACCAAATTCTGCTGAGTAGCTACCGGCTTTTGTATAGCCCACTAGCTAACAATGGTTTTTACATTTTTAGAGTTGTAACAAAAGAATATGTTACGTGGTCAGGAAAGCCTAAAATATTTACTATCTGGCCCTTTACAGAAGTATTTTACTGACCTGAACTTCGAAGCGAAAAAAGAGCAGAACAAGGACTTGTCTAAAGGTTAGGGGGAAAAAAAAATCAGTGTTCCTTCCCCACCCCTAACCAAAAACCTCTCCAAAATAAAATAAAAACAAAACAAAAATCTGTTTTAAAAGGAAAAAGAAGACCTGGGCTGAACAGTATCTTAGTAATAAAAAAGTTTCAGTACTGATTTTTCTAGAATATTAGGCATCTCAATCTTTTTAACATAGTTTTTGTCATATTCCCACAGAGAGTAAATAAATACATCTCCACTATAAAATGGAGCACAGACAAACTGTTATGAATTAGGTACACAAACCAATTTTAAACAAAGGTAGATATCCAGAAAAATCGCTGCAATTCATTTACATTTATAGGTATCAAAAGATGACTATATTCATCTTTAAAACACAAATTCCCAATTTGTTTATATTTTTCAAAGAGCCTTCAAATAATTACAGTAAGTATCCATTTATGTATCAACTCTGTTTCAATGGGTTTTCAGAACCACTCCTTTGCCCTTCATAAAAAAAGCACCAAATAACATGATTATTACCACATTAAAAAGAGTTCAATTTAGAATCATGTAATAGGACTGTTTTGCTACTGAAAAAAATTGGACCCAATAAAGAGAATTAATGATGAGTATTATTTTTCCACAACTAACTTAATTCCTTCAGCCAGCACAGAATCATGAGAACCTGGTATAACTTGACACTGCTCTATGTCTACTTTCAAGTTTATACGTCTTTATCAATGGCTATTTTGCTAAAATAAATTCACAAAATAAAAAAGTAACCTATCATATAAAAAGGGATCATAGCTGTTTATTTTAAAATCCTTCTGCAACAATAAAAGATATGTCTGCAGATGACTGTGAGCTAAACTCCAAATGGAATTTTCTTTGCCAAGTTTTTATTTCCAAGTCAATGCACAGCAATTTTGTGTGCTGGTTTGGCAATGTGAGTTAAAAACATTAGAAATGTGGAAAGATACCCATCTAACCATTATAATGAGAAAGAGCTAGGGAAAAGCTAAGTGTCCAATAACAGGAAATGGTAAAAAAAAAAAAAATCAGTATGGTAATAAAAACTTCAGGAACAATGTTAGTTAATGAAGATGTGAACAAACCGGCATTTTTACAAAGCCAGTGGTAATATAAATTCATGTATTTCTAGGAGCAATTTAAAATATACATCAATATTTAAAAGGAAGCTAACCAGTGACCTAACAAGAAAATAATGAATTACAAAGCTGTAGCCAACTAAAAAATGTAGAAAAACAATGTAAATGCCTCTTAGTTAGGAATGGGCTAAAAGGCACATCCATGTACAGTAAAAACGATATAATTTATATATTTCTTAAGGAAGCCAGTTAAAAATTACTTCAGCAGATAAAGCACTATGATTTCTTCATATCTAAAACGTAGATACTGCCTCATTGTCATCATGAAGATGAAATTTAATGTATGTCAAATGTCTAGTATGGAGCTTAGCTTGTAACAGGCACCCAAAATGCAATGCCTATTGTCATGTAGAGTGAACTCCTACTTTTGAAAAAATATGTGCACATATGTAGAAAACTGTCTGCCTTCTGGGTAAAGACAGAGAGCGAACACACATGCATTCCCTTTCGTCCTCCAGTGAAACTCCACTAAAATAGCATTAAAAGAATCTGAGCCATAAATTCACAAGAATGGAAAGAATAATATTACAACACAACACAATCTTAGAAGATGGAAAAGCAGAAAGTCAAGCATTAAATGCACTGGAAAGCCTAGAAGACTGAAGGCAGAAAGCTCAGATAAACTACTAATTAGACTGACACTCAGAATCCCACAAAGGCTCAGGAACTGATGGTACCACGTACCTTGGGGACAATTTCAGAGTTAAAATTGAGTGTTGGTTCATGGGCTGTTTGTGAAGCAGTCGGATCCCCAGATCCCTACCCCCACGTGCACAGCTGGGTAAATGTCCCTCTCCTGAGGCAGCCAAACACTAGACCTTTATTCTTCAGAAAGTACAGAATAAAGAAACTCTCA